GTCTCTTCTGAACTATGTCTAGTTTTCTATGCTTTATCTGATATACTACTGACTTGGTAGCGAAACTACTAACACGTTAATTCATTATACTATTATAATTCCACAGGGATCCAAAGCTATACTTTTGAATCGAAAATTGTCAGAAAATTTTTTTTTCGTTTTTAAAATGGTATATTTGCATTATTCGTCTCGTCTCGTCTCGATGTAAAGGCACGGCTACCTTTCGAGATGGCGCAGGGAACCGTGAAGGAGACTATTTCAAAAACAGTTCTAATCAAATGACTTTGTTGTTGTCTTTATGATAATGTGATTGACTGTATGTCTTTAGAAACTTTTTAAGAAGATTTGTACTGAACCAAAAAAACACTGCTTTATATACGAAGTTTTTGTTTGTGCAAAGTTGGATAAGCGATGTGATAAAAATCGAACTYTTGCTTTCTTGAATTTCCTTGAAATAGTTTTGGATAAACATTACATGTCAAAGAATTCCCTCAGAAAARTTGCTGTCCATCGTTTGGCAGCCATATTTGGTAATCTTGCTTATTTGGAAGTAGGTCTGGACTGATTTTTGGCGATTTCCTCGACTTTTTAAGTTTAAAATCGKCTGAAACTTAGCAGAWTTTATAGCAAACTCAATCGGCCATTTCGTTCCTATATATTGCATGGATTCGCTAAAGAAAGCCCGCAATTAAAATGCATAAGGGGTCCCACACGAATGACATACGATTCTTTGATGTGTTTACTTATGAAGRTCCACTATAATAGGTTTACCTAATTTTTATATTATTGTCATTAAGATGTTTACCAATGAACAGGCTTGACAGCCGATATACATGCATGTGATAAATGTGGAATAGTAAACCCCACGTGCTCTAGCACAGTCGGACTGTATACCTGCACAAAATGGTACAGAACGCASTGTTAACTTATGACAGRATATAAAGGAGTTCATCATTGATTTTCAGACTTCTGAATACAKGTTCGATAGTAATGTCRATATGTTTATGTTTTTAGCGGCAAGTTGTTTACGAAGGACATCAGCTGACTTTTGATCTTTGACATGAATGCGCTTAGTTCATTCATCTTTGCTGACGTGACTGGCATAATATACATTACTCGAGTCATAAGGATCTGCTTAAGAAGCTCACATCCAGTGCAAAGAATAAATCCTTTGATGAGAGTCGGTGTGCGCGGTGGAACATGTTAGCGAGAAGTGATCTCTTGTGTAGCGCATTTTTTTGATGATGGAGAAATAAACCAGTGTTTGTACGGTTAGTATAAGACGCGTGTGAGCAGATTGGACCCTTTCATCATGATGCTCATTCCCAAGAWGTTTTTAAARCTCATTCTCGTTGGCCAGTTCCGTGTTGAAATTGAAGGATGTCACAAATTCAGTGAAACAAGAAAGTCARCTGTTTCAACGATATTTGTAATCACAGAAGTGTCATTTACGTACCTTGTGAACTAGCCGTATTTTTCAAGGCTTACTAAATTGACTTGAAGATGAAGAATMTGAATGTACTGCCCAGATGACAACGAAGCGTTGTTTATGTCATTAAATGTTTAMACTTAACTGTTTKCAAATATTACTTTTATCGAGATTTGACACTCCATCGATCTCAGGGACTTTTATTTATTCTTGGAAATTGGTATCAGATCCCCTTCTGCAACACATCATTTAGTATTCCCAYAATACTTTCTTGCTCTTCTTGGACAGCTGTCATAAATGGTGTGTTTTGATACTTATCKTTGACATTAATGTCTGCACCAGCAGCCAGCAAGGATTGGATGATTTCTTCACTCCCATTTTTGGCAGCCCAATTCAGTGCCGTTTTTCCCTCTCTATCTACTGCGTTCACATCTGCACCGGCATCAATCAACATTCTTGCAATGGTTTCTTTGTTGMCGTTGTTGTTATTGCTTGCTGCATACATTAGTGCTGTTCTCCGGTCCTTGTCTCTAAAATTTACATCTACCCTGGCTTTTATCAAAGCTTGGGTTATTTTTTCATGWCCTTTTTTGGCTGCCCAAACGAGAGCTGTTCCTATAGCAGCTTTATCATCCTTGGCAACGTTGATTTCTGCACCATCTTTCATTAGTTTTTCTGCGATGACAGGCCAGTGGTTTTGAAAAGCGTATATCAGCGGYGTTCTTTCATACTTATCCCTAAAATTGATATCTGCTCCAGCGTTTACCAAAGCAAGGCTAATCTTCTTATTTCCACCTCGGAGAGCGTAAATCAGTGCTGTTTCATCATTACCATCGGTGAGATGTATATCTGCACCAGCTTCAATTAGCTTCTTTGAAATCCTTGCCATATGATAYTGTGCAGCATTTATCAAAGGTGTCTTTCCTGTTATATCTGCAACATTTGGATTTTCATTAGAATCTGCTATTGCACGGGTAACACCTTTAACTGGATCTTCTACATCAATCACTATTCGGTCATTTCCAGGTATTAAAGTAGCTCCATTTGCACGGTACAACTGGTACAACTCGGGCCAACTTAGCTTTAAGGATTCGTATATCAGTGGTGTTGATCTTCCTTTTGCATCAATTAAATGTACTTCCTTATTTGTTGGGCTATCCAAAGCAGTAGATTCATCATCCAAGAGYTCTGTTGTCAAGGATAAAGGTAAATTGCAATATTACTAAAGTTTTTAACCATCATTAACCCTATTCGAACTGAGATTTTTTGCGCAATATGTTAATGTGGAGGGAGGGGGGTTCTCWTTCGGTCCCCCCTCTATATCTTCGGAACCAATGGATCTGTGAACAATGAAAATTTTGACACACTGATCGMCCACGTAAAACGAACCTCACCAAGTTTTGATCCTTGGAAACTARATCTGACGTCACAATACCGTCATTTACATCAGTTTACTGATTGATTATGCATTTTAACTAACTGCATATAGTRCCATAAAGAATGCTGCAACATCATCTCTTTATTATTGAAATGACTTGGAAATAATAAGTTTTGGTTTTTCAATGAACTTTTGTTCTAAATGACGTCACAATGGCGTTACTGTGAGTTTTTTTTTTATCTCTGGTAACAATTGTGAGCTCGTAGTTGTGATGACGTCATGTTCTACAGTGTCTTTTTCGTCTTSGAATAATTTGATTCCAAATCCCACTTTTATTTGGCTACATCGGTATTTTTTRTAAGCATTACAAGTTGAGGAGTTTGTAATGATGAAAAAATCTCTTCTTTCGCAATTAAAAACTATAAGTATTGAGTCTAAACAGGGTTTACGTGTGCCATCTAATCAGCCTTCAGATGCAAAAACTGCTCACCTGCGGTTTTCCTGGCAATTTCGATGAGATTTTCCTGTGCTTTTCTGTAATCTTTGTCAAGGATCTTCACAGAGATGTCCATTTTTTTCATATCATCAGANAATATACCAATCCAATTAAAGAAAGCACCATCGAACGGTGCAAATCGTATCGACATGGCTGTGCAAGACAAAGTGCAGAGCAAATGGTACCTCCTTGAAGGAACAGTGTGCAATGTTGGAACCATAAAAGAGAAAACTAATCTAAAACAAGAAAAATACACAGAACTGAGAGATGGATTACGGGACTTGTATAAGAACTACGAAATTACACAAGTAAATATTGTATTTGACTTCCTTGGAGGCTACAACGTAGGACTAGAAGAAGATCTGAACAAGTTTACAGAGGACAAAAGAGAAACACTATACTTAATAAGAAAAGCCCAAAAATGGATCCTGTGTCAGAACGCAGAGATTACCAAGTTCTTCATGGCGAGCCGCAGACCCTAGATAAATCCTTTCGGGTGCACTGAAGGCATCCGAAATCCCAGCAGGGATGCATAGCTTTCCTTTGTCCTGCAGCACGATCCAATTATCACCTTGCATGTATATTTTGGTTCGATAGACCAGGAACATGCCTTGTACCTGTCATCGGAGTGTTTGAAACCGAACTCTGTATTTGTGAAAATTAAATCAAAAAGTTTCTGAAAAAGCCTTAAAACGATCGTTAAACGATCTTTACAGCAATATCAGAACTTTTTAATCCACTGTCACACACACACTTATAACAAAATAAATACCCCCTCAAAAACTAAGACTTTACAACATCATAATTCACTGATATAATAAACAAATTGGCTATGTGAGCGGTAGCCGCTCAAGGGTCTTCGATATATGGACTAAATGAGCGGCAGTTTTAAAATGTATAGAAAAAATTCCAGAAAACAGTATCTAAGTAAGGAAAGACTATTGAAACTTTATTAACAATCTAAAACAGATTTCAAATCATATTATAACAATCTATTTTTATGTCGGGCACGGCACGTTTGGTTTCTTGTCACACTTAACGTGACGACGATCGGCTCCCGTGAAAGTCTTCGATGTACTAAATGAGCGATCTTTTCATTAAATGTACAGAAAAAATCCCCAACACTATTTATTGTAGGACTCAATTTTGATTAAGAGTATACGTTTTTGCTTATGGATTTAATTGATCCAAACAATAAAGTCACAATAACTAACAATATAAGTTTGTAACATGCTAAGCAAAGGCGACACACCCGATTGCTCGTCCTTATCAGGCGAAACACCCGAGATAAGTGACACACAAGGACAAAAAATATATTGTTAATAAAAGTGACGATGTTTAATCAAATTAAATACATACGAAACAAACTCCAAGGTTTTATGAAGACGAAAAAAAATTGACAACCAAGAAATACTAACTCTCACTTTTCAACACTTCAAGCAATAATTCATATCATGGCAGATATACATTTGGACCAAAACATTTGCAGTTGTTTTAAGAAGCAATAGTTTATCAAACAATCCTTCATACAAAAATATAAGTTTGTCACTTGCTAAGCAAAGGCGAAACACCCGATTGCTCGTCCTTATCAGGCGAAACACCCGAGATAAGTAACACACAAGGACAAGAAATATATTATGTAGAAGTGCTAAAGTTGAAATTGAATTTGCCAATAAATAGAGTATAGTTTTGCCTGATAAAACAAGGAAATATTTCCATATAGTTGCTGTTAATAAGATTTTTAATTTGAATAGATAGTATAGTTAGGAAACTTGCAAAATTGTTAACTCAACAGTGTCAAAAACGTTTTCTTGATGAATACAGATATTTTATGCATTGTCCTTCAATTTACACAAAATAAACATATCGAAATTTCTTCTCTATTAAGTTTGTATGAGCTCCATCCTCGGGAACCCAGAGATAACCCCTGGGTTCCCGAGGATGTATGAGCTCACATTAAAATATATCATATATATTTTTTTGTAGTACTTCATCTCGATCTTCTAGAGATGTTATCGATACGGAATTGGCGCTAAAACCGCTATCTAGTAAAAATCAAATATTCAGGCAATCCAGAGAAAATAGAAGGGAATTTTGAGTCTTTTTTTCTTAAAATACCAACATACAGTCCAAATACAGTGTAAACGTATCAGTTACGTATCAGTTACAGAGGGTTGTTTAGTGAAGGCCAGATACAGTCCTTGGAACTTGCGCGAGCCATCGCTAAGGTCAATGTCGTAATATCAACATCATTTACCTCGTCTGAATACGGTTTAGATTGAAATATTTGCTGATTTATAAACCTAGATGGAACTACGTACCACATACATCTCCATTTTAGCGTACCAAGTTTTTTGTGGATCCAACGCTGTTTAGATCATAAACACAACGGAGAGTCATAATCATTTACGCGCCATCGGAAGCCACGGAAAGACAGACGTAAATATATTTCTAATATCCGGCGCTTTGATTGCGTTACATATAGCTTATACCTTATTCGCTCAAATACCTATCGCTGACAGCTCTAACCAAGAAGCAAGAATCATTTCTTAACCGCAATAATTTATAATCCTAGAAACCGTCATTCAAACATAATTGGATCAAAAATATCTGCGGCTCCTCATGC